GGGGGAGGAAGGGCCAGATAGGGGGGAAGGAGAGAAACAGAGAAAGAAAACTAAATGCAATAAATATTGAACTATTACAAAAAAAATAGTAAGAAAAATAAATATGGTACTAATAAAAAGGTGAAAAAGGAAAAAGGAGATATATTTTACGATTAGTGATTTACCGACTCGTAATTTATTAAATTAGATAGACTGTATAGATGTCGGAATATAAATAATAAAATAATAAATAAATAAATAATATAAGAGAGAGAGAGAGAGAGAGAGAGAGAGAGAGAGAGAGAGAGAGAGAGAGAGAGACAGAGACACATTTTTTATAAAAATAAATTATTCTGAAACAAAAATTTAAAGAACATGCTTTTTAAGTACACTTAAATATTTACAATGTCCAAGTTCAACGTATAAAGTTATTAATAAAATTTGTTTTTAGTGTTTAATATTATTTTCTAAAAAAGGATATGATATAAAAACAAAATTACTTTTAAAAAAAAAATAAAAAAAGAAACTAAGTGCATGCACGTTAACATTATCTATTGAAAAATAAAAGAAAATTTTATACTCTCTACAAAAGTAATGATATCAAGAGGTTTTCGTCAAGTACCAATGATTAATCATTTCAGATTTTACTTTTAAATAATACAATGTTGAAAAAAATTATAATAACGAATAATTAATCATTTCAGTTTTTACTTTTATAAACATATATGGCTTTGACTATATAATATATTTTGTGACGTAGCAGCCCTACCGTCACATTGGTCATCGGTCATTGTTTATTAAAAATTGTCCAACCTTTTTTCTCAACTTTTTAATAAACAATGACTGACGGCTAATATGACGATAGGTTAGATTAGGTTAGTTTTTAGGGAGGTTGCGGGGGGTGCAGTCTTCCGCTCGTCGTTCGATATCTTTCAAGAACTAAAGATATAGACAAACTAAGCAATTCTACCTATACGGTGTCAAAGAAATCTATATTCTATATATATTCTTTATATATTCTATATATATAAATTCTTTTGTCAATAACTTTTTAATAAATTACGAGCGTCCGGCTAAAACCTTCTGAAGGTTACTTAGCAGAGTGTCCTTAATAATATATACCAAGATCAAGATCAAGCTGGGTCCTCTAAAATAAATAATTACCAAATCATAAAATAAGCTTACAGAATATTATATTGTCACCTCATTTTCTCAATGAACGAGACGAAGAAAGGAATATATATAATTCTAATACAAATGAGAAAGACTGCATGTTATTATTAGTAAATTATAGTTATTTAAAGTTGCAGCATCAACATTAAAATTAAGTGTTGGCTCTGTTCTAGTTTAAACGTTGATATCTGCTCTCGTATCGCAAAAATGTGTTTGTTTTTATGCTATTTTTACCTGATCAACGTGAATGACAAGCGTGGTGCAGCAACCACGTGGTAGAAAAAATAATATTTACGTGGATGTCGAAAGTTGGAGAAGGTCGTGCAGTGAGAAAAAAGCCGCGCTTGCTGCGTGCTGTTTCGTATGACACGTACGTATATAACTTCGTAAAAAAGCATCTGCAACATACGGATATTGTTCTCCCGCCCGTCGTGTTGCTCCGCACATGCTCGACTTTGCAACAATAGCGCTGTATCGATTGAGAAAACGGAACAATACAAATGTTGATATTTACATTTTTAGATGTCGTAGCAAAACTTGAAACAAAAACAAAATAGAGAAATTACTGCGTTTCCATGCGGACGTAGAATTATTCTTTTATAAAAGCACAATTAACAGAATTACGTAAATGCGAAAAACATCGATTATTGTGTTAGCATTAAAGTAAAAATGAATTTAAAACATGATAGAAAATTTTAGTTTGGATTTGTGTCGATGTATCTCGATGCGATTATCTTATTCGTTTTATAGTAAGCTATTAAATATCTATATTATTCATGGTTGAGCCAACTAGTAAATAAAGAATAAAAGCGATTCGCCAAATGTAGACTGATCGACATAGTCAATTTTATAGTTAGATTTTTATTTTAAATAATTTAAGCGTTCACACATAGTGAGGGTAAATATACTTCGTGCTATAATTATATAGGACGTAAGAAGAAGGGTGAAATGGACACAACTTAATTTATATATAACAACAAATAATTTCAAAAATTTCAGTAATCTTTGTGTTGTTATTATTAATGAAAAAAACCGCGAAATATAGAAGAGATATTAATTTTATAAATTAACGTGACAATTTTTATTACGCTTTAAAAATGCTCGCGTAGATATATTACATACAATTGTATGTCTAAACAAAATTTGCAAGCATGATGGAATATAAGTACGCGCATAAACTATCAACTCGGAGCTATGTACTAAAATTACCGTGTTACCTCTTTGTCTTTCTCTCTACATTGGTAGATAGTAACGTTGGCAACTATCATTACAACAAGTCGCAAAAAACTATCGATCAGCGTAAAGTTCCGCCTATCTGCTAGAAATTATTTCTTTCCTGCGGCTCGACGAAAACCCGCGAGAGCCCGCGCAAGCGCTACCAGTCCTCGTCGTAGCGCAAAATAGTCTCGGGAATCGGCCAGGTGTCAGTGCAGCGCGTGCTTTCGCAGATCAAACATGACTCGTTCGTTGCGCAAATCTCCGTTGAAGAAAAATCTCTACAAGCAGTACAGTGACTATAGTCTTCAGTTAAATCGCTGGTTCCTAAAGCCAATCGGCATCTGGCCCTCCTCGACTAGCAAGGAAAAGATGCTATCGCGCGGTATCCAATTCACCTGTTATTCACTGATAACCTTTGTAGTAGTACCTTCCGTACTGTATATCTTCTTCGAGGATGAAGATGTCGATATCCGCGTGAAGGCCATCGGACCTGTTAGCCATTGGTTTATGGGCGCGATGAATTACCTGTCACTGTTGCTGCGTGGCGATGAGATACGTCGATGTATTGAACACATGGAGCTCGACTGGCAGCTAGTGAACAGAGTGGAGGATCGAGAGGTGATGTTAAGGAACGCTAAGTTCGGCCGCTTCATCGCCGGTTTCTGCGCCGTCTTTATGCACTGCGGTGTGTTCTCGTACAGCATGATAAAGAGCATGTCACTGCTGGTCATCGTGATTGGCAATCAGACCATTATGATACCTCGATTACCGTGTCCATTCTACAGTAACTTCCTCGACACGACGGTCACTTTGACAAATCAGATCGTGCTCATGATACAGTTCTTATCGGGTTTCATAGTCAATTCGATCACGGTAGGCGCGTGCAGCCTGGCCGCGGTTTTTGCGATGCACGCCTGCGGACAATTCAGTGTGTTATTTCTGTGGTTGAACGAGTTAGTCGGCGACGATACGGAGGATAAAGACAAATTGGTCAAGTATAAACTGGCTAATATCGTGCAGCATCATTTGCGTGTACTAAGGTAGTAAAAGATATCCTGGGTAATATGTGACGTTTGTGGGTAAGAAATGAGTATCTCTGATTAGGTCACGTAGTAGCAGTATTGTTATTTACAGTTTTGTGTCGTGCATTGAACAAGTCATGTATCAGATATGTCTTGTTCAATTGGTCGGCTGCACGCTTAACATGTGTATGATTGGCTATTATTCCCTCACGGTAGGGCAAGAATATCATTCTTTATTACGTTTATAACTGTAACAATTAATTCTACACATTATTCACATTATTTAATGAGAAAGAAAGAAAAATCTTATTATAATCGAAAAAATTAGTATATTCTAATGAATATCAATAATAAATGGTTTCTATGCGTTTCGATATTTTAGGAATGGGATACAGAAGATACCAAAAACCTAGTAACATACGGAATTTTATTCGTGTCGGTGACATTTAACATTTTCATATTTTGCTACATCGGTGAACTTCTCAGTGAACAGGTAACAGACGATTTGCATGAAAATCTAGTACTTGCATTTTTAATGCCATTAACGAGAATGTTCATCAAGTTTATTGTTAGTCATCGATGGTTCTTACCACAATTTATTGTATAAATGAACGGTATAGTGTAAGAAAGTCGGCGAAACGGCCTATTTGACTGAATGGTACCGTTTACCTCAGAAGACTGCTCTTAGTCTGGTTTTAATCATTTCAAGATCTAGCGCTGTAATTAAGATGACTGCTGGAAAACTGATTGAATTATCATTAGCGACGTTTGGAGACGTAAGTCTCGATACTTACGATGCTATATATACTTTTCTTTTCGCAAACAAAACATTAATATATTAAATAATATCAAGTTATAATCAATAATTAATATATGATATATTAATGTGTACAAGTTTGTATTAATTAATTGATTGATTGTATTTAGTAAATTTTTCACATATTATTACATGCTATTTACATATCTATTACAAAATGAAAAGCAATAAATATACTGTTGCACACATAATTACTGAATATCTTAGAAAAATTGTTAGTATACATATTTGTATGATTTCCTGCAAAAAAAGAGAAAAAAGTTGCCGATATCACAATTCTCTGAATATTTTTCAAAGCAATTAAAGTGTTATTCGTTTCAGGTAATTAAAACATCCCTTGCGTATTTAAATATGCTTCGCACTATTTCTCTGTAAGTTATAAATATTACGTGATCATTAGAATAAATTAGATAAAAAATCACGGGTCAGCTTTATTTATGAAAAAAATGCTATTTGTAGTAACTTACCTATAAAATCAATCCTTGCTTACCATGATCTACAATTATCCTTTTGATATGATATATTTTATGTATGACAAATGAATTGCGTACGCACAGATTATTTTTTCTTCGTTGTCTTTACTCAGTTCACCGACGTGATTTATGTAAACGTGTACTCCACAATGACAGCACAGCAACAAGTCCGACGGTGCCAGTCAATCAATCGGAGTCAATTCGTTCTGCCGTTTATCTTCACGCAGACGCCGTAGTGACTACTAAGCACGTCGTTTTAGTCGATTAATACACGTTGTGCCATCGTGTAGCCACCATGTGTCAGGGATTACAGACCTGTACAATCATAGCGTGCAGCTGAATCGTTGGTTTCTGAAGCCGATAGGCGCATGGACACGATCCTCCGCAACAACTAAAAGCGAGAGAACCGTGTCCAACGCTTTGATATTCATATGTTACTTCTTAATAGCCCTGACCGTGTTGCCGTGCATATTAAACCTCCTCTTTGAAGAGAAGAATCTCGATCTAAAACTGCGGATGATTGGTCCGTTGAGTCATTGGTCCATGGGCGGAATGAATTATTGCTTCCTCTTGCTACGTAACGCCGACATACTCCGATGTGTGCAACATATGGAAACGGATTGGAGAATCACGACGTCCTCAGGATCGCGACATCATGGCGAAAAACGCGAGACTGGGTCGCTTCGTGGCAGGTATCTGTGCGGTATGCATACACAGCGGTGTGTACATCTACAGCATCGTGGCCGGAATGAAGACGTTAGAAGTTTCGATCGGTAACAAAAGCGTCCCAATGGTGCAGCTACCATGTCCAGTTTACAGTAAATTCGTTGACACTAGGTTCAGTCCAGCGAGAGAGATCATGTTGGTGATGCAACTGCTCTCGGACTTCGTAGTGAATTCTGTTATTGTTGGCGCGTGCAGCTTGGCTGCTGTCTTCGCTATGCATGCGTGCGGGCAACTCGACATCCTGACCCTGCGTCTGAACAATCTTGTCGAAGATCAAGACGCAAAGAAAAATGACTGGGCTAATAAGAAGATGGCTGACATTGTGGATCATCATTTGCGCGTCTTGAGGTA